TGAGGTTGAGAACAGATTGAAGTCGGAGTCGAAGTCACAATCAGAGAACAAATTGTACAGTTCCATGACAGAATCCTTTGCTAGTGGGCAGTCTGAGGGTGGATGTATTCTTCAGGAATACCCCAAGTTCACTAACAAGACTGAGATGACAGCTTTCTCAAGTGGGTGGGAGTCGGCAGAGGAGGTAACGCTGAAGACCCAGGACCTTGAGAATGACAAATTCTTGAAAGAGCTTCTTAAAGAGTCAGCGCCATTCAAGAAGGAGAAGCGAACCAAAACATGGCCAGACTTCACGAAGGCTAGGGGGGAAAAGTAAAACGGGAAAATGAAACAGTGAACTTTAGACTCTGGACTCTAGACTTATTTGCCTCAACACTTTAAACTCAAAAGTCTGAAGTTTGAAGTTGCGACTCGCGACATTGCGAAAATGAGAGTTATATTATAAGTTATAAGGCATAATTGTATAAATATATAATTTATGTGATTAGATGACTTAAGGCTCCAAGACTAAGACTAAGACAGAACTCAACTCGACTTAAATCTTAGACCGTATCAGATCTCAGACTCAGACTGCACTGCACAGCAGGTAATTTGCTGGGACGAGGCTCGGCGCCCTTACTATTCCCTCGAAGAGACCTACTTTTGCACTGACTTTCTCCGCCTGAACGCAGGTTCAGAGTATGAATTAGAGAAGTGTCTTGACCTGCTAAGGTAACTTTCCGATTTTATGTCGTTCGTCCGTTCGTTTGAGTTTGATTTGTCGAACACTTCAAAGAAAGCAGCAATTGGGACTGACAATTCACAATATTTGTTTCAATATGTTTCAATTTCAGTTATATATGCTATGAAGTTGATGTATAAAGTATAAAGTATGAAATATGAATTGCAATTTGCTGCCAATGGCCCAAGGCACTTTGCTCTGCGGGCAGCCTACTGCAAGCCCGGATGGGAGTCTTTTGGCATCTCTGATCTGATGACTGGCACAGTTCAAATCCAGAAGTCCGGGACGAAGTATGTTTGTGGGCTTCCCTTCAAACATGCGTGGGACTCATGCGGAGCTGGCAAACACTCATGGCAAAATTTACAGAAGACCATGACCAGGCTGACAGTGGAAGACTTGACAGAGATGGGCGGCTACTTTTGCGTGCTGGAGCCAGACACCTTCCTCGTCTCTCCTCCCGGTATGATTCTTTGGGAGCTTGCGGTTGGCGACGCTGTAAGCCTTACCATTTCGTATGAGTTCTTGGCACAGCGCCATTGCCAGGAGAGGTTTTCCTACAACATGCTGACCGTGGTGAACAACGCAGCATCTCTGTGCACAGAACCGCATCACATGAATCTCGAGAAGAAGCTGAGGGTCTCTCGGACTTACTCTTGGTTTTGGAAATGTACAGTACACTGAGACTGAGACTGAAACTAGTGACTCACTTAAGGCAATGGTAGTTGCAGTGGCAGTTGCACTCACTCATGGTGCCCTGTGCAGTGCACTCCGCACTCGCACATGCAATGTATTGAAAGCAGTAGAGTAGTGAACTGAACTAACACTGTGAAAACTTATGAAAAGGCACTGAACTTAACGCTCGACGCTCAGGTGGCCAAAGGGATGTGGAGCAATTTGTTCATGATGATCTTTGGTGTTGACCGCACCCGAGTCAAGAAGGAGAGGGAACAAGACGACGAAGACGAAGACAACTCAAGGTTGGAAGATTTCATTGCGAAGGCTACTGCACCAACACACGCTATTCTCAAGCGCCGTGAGAGGAAGTCAAGGGTAGCTGGGAAATATTAGTTACGTTATATGTATATGGTATGTAATGTCTGTTATGTTACATCACTTTAACTTTAGATCTTGAGTCCTGAATGTCAATGTCTGTAAGTCTGTGAGTCTGTAATCTGTAAAGTAGTTAGTTTGTTCATTGAAGTTTTTTGGCCCCCGGGTAAATCTAAGGTGACTGTCACTGTCACTGCTGGTGTCGTGCATCAATTTCATTTCTCCCACACTCTAAGGCAATGGCACTGGCGGAAAGGCCAACGGCGGCCATTAAACCCAAAGAAGAGACTATCGAGGAGGCCATTGCACAATTTGCTGCTTCAGAGACTGTGGAGGAGGAGTCTTTGGAGTCGGAGATGGTTCAGCTTGCCCCGGCAGTCCCAGCACCAGCGCCCACCCTCCCACCGAGCCAGGTTGAGACGGTTGAGAATAACCTAGCAGAGGCGCCAGCAGCAGTGCCGCCGGCATCCATTCTTGGCACACCACCAACCCTGCCTCTGCCCTTGGAAGCACCGAAGCCAGCACCAGAGCAAGAGCACCAGGAGGAGCACGCAGTGGCAAAGCATGACAATGAGAATTTGAATGAGGAGCAGACGCAGAATGACAAGGATTTGACTTTGGAGGAGGCGGCGGCGGAGGCGAAGGAGGATGACGCTGCTGGCCGTCTCCAGCGATCCATCCCAGCCCCAGTCCCCACGCCGCCTGCAGTGCCTGCAGAAACTGCCAAAGCAAAGGCAAAGCCGTTGGCAACTCCGAAAGCCAAGGGCAGCGGCAAGGCGAAGGCAACTCCGAAAACCAAGGGCAAGGCGAAGGCTACTCCGAAATCGAAAGCCAAAGCCAAGGCCAAAGCTTCGCCAAAGCCGAAAAAGACTCCAAAGGCCGCCGCCAAGAAAAAGAGCACTAAATCTCCCAAGTGCAACAAGGCTGTGGCAGCGGCCGCGGCCAAGGCAGCGGCAGCCGCGGCCAGAGCCAAGGCCAAAGCCAAGTCGGCGGCAGCCAAGGCCAAGTCTTCGCAGACCAAGGCTGCTGAGTCAGGAATTCAGAAGCTAAAGAATGCCTTCAAGCAAGGCCAGGCCAAGAAACATCTTTTATTTTGACTCAACTCAACTTCAAAATTCAAAATATTTCATCAACTTCACTCACAACGACAAGTGACAACTGACGACGACAACAATGCAACAACAACAAACTACACTACATACTCATACTACGTACTACACACTACAAACTACAGTAACAGTGGACGGTGGACAGTGGACGGTAAGTAGTAAGTAGACATGTGGTCCGAGAGTAGTAGTAGGCAAAACAAATTCCAATGTGTTCCTTTTAAACTTCACTCCACTCCACTGGGCAAGAAACAGAGATGTCGGTCCAGTATGGTTGACTGTTCAGATTGTAATTGTTATGTCATGAGATGTTCAATGTGTTCAGTGTCCACTGCCCACAATTTGAGAATTCCAGAACACACTGGAAAACACAGAATAGAATTCCAGAACACACTGGAAAACACAGAATCACCGGCAGGCCAGATTTAGCGGATCTGATTCACTTCTACAGCAAGCTCCATGAATGTATGTCCATGACCGGACGAGGCCTTGGGTTAAAGCAAGCAGCGGCTTTAAAACGTAGGTTCAAAGGTGAATTCAAAAGTATATTCTCAATTTTACGATGGCTATCACTATCACTTGCCACTCGCTAAATCACCGACTAGGTTTGGTCAGGAGTCCGTGTGGGTTTCCTGGGCTGTGGCCACGCAGGCTCCTATTCTGGTTGGCAATTGGCAATGTCTGAATCATTTGTGGAGATTCGTTGGCGCTGCCAGTGACAGACGCAGAGTAGCCAGGTAGTAGCCATGTTCAAGTCATGTCCTGCATTGGCTTTGACTAGTGCCTCCGCAAGCGGTAGCTGGCAAGTATACTTGTTTTACATGGTTCAATGCTGTTTAACTGTTTGTTTCGAGTTTGTATAAACCGTATGTCAAGATGCTTTCATTGCAGTTTGAAGTCTGAAGCGGGGACGCTAACTTTTGAACACTAGATTCATACCGACACCAACCACCAACTGAGAGGAAAACGCAGCGTGTACACTGCATTGCTTTGGCCACATGCCATCCGTCATTGTCATTCGCTGTCGCTTTTTGTCAACTTGTTGTTATTTGAGAATTGGGATTGGTAAATGAAAAGTCCGTCGTTTTGAGGCCGAAACCTTGCGTATCCTCTATACCAAGATTTCCCCGTAATCCACCCCCCCACTTGGGAATTAGTACGCACAATATGTTATTGCAAGTGCTGGTCTTGGCCTTTAGGCTGGGTTTAGATGGCAAGTGGAAGCCATTTCTGCTAAAAGGACCGCGTACCTCTAAGAGAGAACAGTGCCTTGAAAATCAGCCCCCATCTTCAATATGTTCCCCATGTACTTTGGAGTGCGCGCTACAGTATGTTACAACGGTTCTTATGAAAGGAAGATGTGTGTGGTCAACGTGTCCTGTCTGTTTGGTCATTTGGTTTCAGTGGAGGTTTGGTTTCAGTGAAGCGCAGCGCGCTGGGCTCCATGCGGCCCTGTAGACTGCCCAAAACGGGCTGGTGTCGCTGCGAAGGGTTTCAGGCCAGGCAAAC